GGACCCCAAATGTTACAGTGCAAAAAAAAAAAAAAAAAAAAAAAAAAAAAGTCCTCTGGTTGAAAAAAAGTTTGCTGAATCTTCCTAGATTCTTGAATAAAGTATAATCTATTATTTGCTGGGTTGATATACTGATTTTATTATTTCTGCATACGTTTAACTGCAGTATAGTTCTTTTGGTTGTATGTGTGGGAGTGTTATAGTTTCTAGATGCTGCATTATGGTCTCTGCTATGAGTGCTGAGAGTGGTGATCCCATGGGCGTTCCTCAGTTCCTCTGAGCCCTCCAAAACACCTTAAGTAAACCAAAAGACCCAGTACCCCAAGAAGAAAAAACAGGGGTTATCTACAACATATAGCGTAAGGACTGTAACAGCCACTGTGTAGGACAAAAGACTAGCAGAGCACATCCATGAACACCAACTACCAATCAGAAGACATGATGGAAACTCCTTAATCTCTCAACACATGGACAGAGTCAGCCATAGTTTCAACTGGGAAACTGTGATCATCCCAGACCAAGTTAAATCCAAAAATGCTAGGGAACTCCTGGAAGCTTGGCATTCAGACAAATCAGCCATCAATAACACATAGAGATAAACCACATTTATACACCATTCAAGAGACAATAAAAAAGCTAAGAAAGAAACAAAAAGACCAGAACACGTCCCCTCCAGCAGCCTACACCCAGATAAGCAGGGATCAACACCAGACAAACGATCAGGAAGAACACAATATCCTAACCAAGGAACTACCAAGGAGAAAACCACACCCCCACCAATACTGGCAGGGCAAGCTACTGTATATAAGCAGGGAGAAAACCCCACCCTCCCTCGCACTGATGATGTTACCTAGTTAGGTAATGAAAAGTCTGCAAGCAAACAACCAAGTTCAGAGACCACCAAGGACTCCACAATTCAACCCTGAGCTACAGATATTCTCTTCTATTGGAGCTCAGTTCTTAATTGTTAACTTTTATTCTGGCTGGATCATGCCCCAGGGGAGGGATGGCTTACAGGTGAAATTTCTGTTTGCTTGACTGTATCATGCTAAGCCACAGAGCAAACAGTCCGAAAGCTCTGCACGGGGTGGTGGGTGAGGAACAGAGTCCCTCACAGGAAAGAGGAAGTTCAACCATACTCCTGAAACTGGTTCTCTAACAGGCCAGGTTCGCACAATACACGGCACCCGGGTGGACGAAACACAATTGGCGTCATCATGAACCTGAGACCTGGAGGGTTATGCAATTGGTTTGGTTTAGTTATCACAAGCCTGTTGTTAAACTCTTTTTCTGAGGAAGCCTCGGGCTGAGTGAAGAGCTCAGTCTTGAGCAGTGGGTTGGGGTTGCTTGCTCCCCTGGTTCAGCTCCCTCACTGCCCGCACCCCCACCTCCTCTACAACCACAACCCTGCTTAGCACGTGTGCAGCTGTGGCTTGGGGACAAGGCTAGGATGAGAGTCCAGAGCACTGGCAAAGCTGGAGGAGGACGAAGGGCTGAGACGCAGTTTGTTGATGTCTAGTTTAGATCATTCCCCTGTTTGAGCCGCTCGTGCAAACGGCATCCAGTTTGGGAGGTTTTTCAACAGCTGGGTCCTCCCAGCACATGGACTCTGGGTGAATAAAGCACAAAGAATTGAACAAATGTTTTGTGACAACTAAACGCCCAATGCCCACATAAACCATATGATGGTGGGATGGCTGAATTTGAACAACATACTGCACCACCAACCACACAATCTCATTTTAACCCAGTCCCAGTCCAGCCTGTTGTGTGAGCCCAACCCATCGTCCTTACACTCTCACACTGCAAAACTGGGGGAAAGGATTAATTCATGAGCTCAGACAGGTCTGACTGGGATCCAGCATGACACTCTCCCCCCATAACTCTGACATCCTGCCAGCACCGCCTGCAGTCAAAAGCATTTCGCCAGCTGCTGCTACGGCAATGTCTCTGGGGGCTGTTTAATCAGGGAAGGGGATTAAAAGGTGGAGAAGGGGGTCCAGCCATCCTGGAATTTGCATTCTCCAGTTGGGACACCTGGGGCTTGTTATATATTTGGTAAAGATGTCAAGATTCAGACTTTAGGAGGCAGCTGATCTACTTAGCTCTGGAACCATCCGTCCACACAGATCACCAGTCTAGCATCCATCAAGGGCAGCGGGATTAGAATGCCCCCAATTCCTACCTTGCAGACTGGTTGGGAATTCTGGGCTTTGCAGTCCCAAGAGACACTTTGTTTCACACAGGAAACCAAAAACAACTGTGTGAGTATAGGATGGGGAATACCTGCACTGATGAAAAGAATCTTGGGAGAAGAGCGCCCCATAAACCGAGCCAGTTGTGTGAGGTAGCTGCCAAAAAGGCCAATGTGATTCCAGGCTGGATCAATAGAAGTTTCATTTCTAAGTCACAAGGAATAATAGTTCCATCTTAATCTGCTTCAAGTTATTCTGTAAGACCCTGCTTCAAGCTTCTGGCACCATGTTTTAAAAAGGAGGCAGGGAAATCAAAACGTGCCCAGAGCAAGGCAACGAGGGCAGATGGATCAGGGGTCTAGAAACCAAGTTCTTTGAAGAGAGGTTTAAACAGCAGAACATATTCAGCCATGAGAAACCAAGGGAATGCTGGCTGGGGAATCCTGGGAGTTGAAGTCCACACATCTTCAAGTTGCTGCGGTTGAGAAACACTGTGCTAGCAGAATGAATAGTCCAACAGTGGAACCCCCTGTCCAGGAAGGTGGTGGGCTATGCTATACTGGGTGTGTTCCAGCAGAAACTGAATAGTCATGTATCCGGGTTGCTTTAATTTAAATTCCTTTCCTGAGCAGGGATTTGGACTTG